TCTTTCCCTGGTAAAACATGATTGTACTGTTTTATAGCACAAATGAGTGTAAAAACCACAACTGATACCCTCACACAGCTAGAATTGAAGTCAGAGAGCCAGAAGTTCACTTCACATCACCTGATATGCAGTCCATTGTGCTAACTATGGCCTGATTCGCCTTCAGCTAACACAAAGGAGAAGCAAATTTCATAGTTACAAACATTCCATTGTTGTCTTGAAATAATTCCTTTTTTTCTTTTAAACAATCTAGCCAACTTGATTTTAGGCATTCTGCTCTCATCCTGTTTCTTTTGTGGAAGTAATGTTGCCTTTAAGTAACAAGTATATTGCAAGGGTAGAGGAAACAAACTGAGAATAAGAGCATAGAACACATTTAAGATGTCCACAATAAAATTGAGTTGGCATTTCTTAGAGCAGTGCAATTTTGATAAGTAAATCAAGTTCTAGCTTATTTCAAAGTTCTCCAATACTCTGATTATCCTATACTCACTCTATTACCTGTGTTATAATGAGGATTACCCATTGTCTCAGATATCTAAGGTCCCTGAATGCCTCTGTTAACTGAAGGGTCATTGTATATTGGCCAAGTGTTTGCTCTAATCCAGATTATTTCAGCACTCTTCATGTTTCAGATTTGTTAGGGTACTAAAAAGTAAGGTACTAAAAAGGTAGCTCACTTTTCCTGGAGGAATGACAGTTCTAGACAGGAACTGAATACTCACCTTGCATGACCCATCACAACTGATACCCTCACACAGCTAGAATTGAAGTCAGAGAGCCAGAAGTTCACTTCACATCACCTGATATGCAGTCCATAGTGCTAACTATGGCCTGATTTGCCTTCAGTAAGCTTCAGCTAACACAAAGGAGAAGCAAATTCCATAGTTACAAACAGTCCCTTGTTGTCTTGAAATAATTCCTTTTTTTCTTTTAAACAATCTAGCCAACTTGATTTTAGGCATTCTGCTCTCATCCTGTTTCTTTTGTGGAAGTAATGTTGCCTTTAAGTAACAAGTATATTGCAAGGGTAGAGGAAACAAACTGAGAATAAGAGCATAGAACACATTTAAGATGTCCACAATAAAATTGAGTTGGCATTTCTTAGAGCAGTGCAATTTTGATAAGTAAATCAAGTTCTAGCTTATTTCAAAGTTCTCCAATACTCTGATTATCCTATACTGACTCTATTCACCTGTGTTATAATGAGGATTACCCATTGTCTCAGATATCCAAGCTCCCTAAATGCCTCTGTTAACCGAAGGGTCATTGTATTTTGCCTGAGTGTTTGCTCCAATCCAGATTATTTCAGCACTCTTCATGTTTCAGATTTGTTAGGGTACTAAAAAGTAAGGTACTAAAAAGGTAGCTCACTTTTCCTGGAGGAATGACAGTTCTAGACAGGAACTGAATACTCACCTTGCATGACCCATGCTATCATTTACGACAAGATTTCACAGAACACAGAATGTTTTACACTGGTGATTAATAATGTACCTCAAGGCTTATTCTCAAATACTGTGAGAATAGCTTCAGAGTCTTACTTACATTGGCTCTCCACTATGAATATACTCCCATAAGAGCTCTTCAGACAGGTCAGAAAATTTTACTTTAGTCTCTTCATAGAAATCAGTGATTTCTGTCTGTAGTTGATTATCTACAGAGAGGAAGAGTTCTTGTTAGAAAGAGAAATTGTAGCTTTGAAATCAAACTGAAATGTTATGCTGTTTGCATTCATTTGATGTTTTGCTTGAAAAAAAATAAACATACTACACAGATGCATGAAACTACTCTTAGAGACAGCGGCCTTGTAACTTCCCATAAAAAGGAAAACTTTGCATTTTTGACCTCTGCAGTCCTGTCTTAGGGCTAACAGGTCACTCTTCATGGGTGGGATGCACTCTTAGATTAACAAGGCTTCTTTAGAGCTGTTTACAAACTGCTAGCATACCCACCCAGCACTGAGTACAAAGAAGCCTACAAACACCCTTTCTAACTTTATGACTGTTGTCAAAGGACTCTTAACACTGTCTCATAGCTGAACACCCAGCTGTTACAAATGCTTGAATGTGAACCTGCAGTTGCATCAGTCCCAACTGTAACCATCAGTGTAACTTTTTGTATGTTAAGAACAACCACTCCAGTCAAGATTAAAAGCTGCAAATGATTTGGATATGGAAAGACTATCTCCGGTGAAATTTCAGAGAAATTATTATTGCAAAAGTTCTACTAAAATAATATCGGCATCATTGTCAGAGGAAGCCCCTCAAACCACACACTGCTCAGATTATATTAATGGTACAGTTCTCACAAAACCCACTTACTGTATCAATTATCTGATCAAGAGCACTGATGATTACTTCTTACAATTCATTAGCAGTCTGAGGCATTAAGCCAGTATTTTACTCATGCCCTAAAAGTGGGCTCTAAAGCTTCCATTCTTTACTGAAAAATTAACTACAGATACAGCAACCATGTGTATTCATCAGCTAGTATAAACAGAACACTGGAATCAAGAATGTGGGTCAGATTCTGCTCAGTCCCACAGTTTGTACTGCCTTACTTTAACTTCATTTAGAATATTCCCACAATTTAAATTAGTCTTAGTCCCATAGCTTTCAGAGACAGTATTTCTGAGGTCTGTTGTATTTTGTCATCCTCCTTCTTGTGTGAAAACTGAACACAGTAAGAAGGCTGGCTTTTGGGGGGAGGTTTCAATTAATATATTAATAAGGTAAATTCTCATCTTGAGTAGGAAGCCAATTCAGACAGTATATGAAAAATTTTCCTACTGTTTCTTTACTTGTACAAGTCCTTATGAGAATAATGTTTAACGAAAATACTGAGTATTAATGAAATAATACATGTACCTTTACTGCTGCAATGAATAATAGCCACTCCTGTGAAAACACTGTGCTCTTTCCCATTCAACCTGTCAGGGAATAAATGTGCATTAAGCAAGTTTTATGAAATGTCTCACGTGCAAAAATGTTCTACATGAGCCTGAGAAACACACTATTATATTAATACATCACCTGATGGCTATGACATGTATCCTAATGAAATTTTCTTTCTTTTTTTTTTTTACTTCAATCTAGGTGAAAAGACATTGGTAAAACAAAAATACTACGAAACAATTCAGTAATTTCAATTCTCCAAAATCTCACTTGTACCAATGTCCACAATTTGGAAAAGCAGTCCATGGCATCAGCTTATTTACCACCCATGAGAACAAGACAATCAGCATGCCCAATGCCATTACAGACACCCTCACTGAAGGCTGGCAATAAATAGCTAGGTGCTGCAACTTAAGACTAAACAAGTGATATGCAAGTAGAGCCAAGCCAGACTGGTCCTCAGGGATGCCATGGCAAGCCAGAGACCTAGAGTCAGAGCAGGGGAAGAGCACCGACGTTCACCCTCAGACTCCAGGCCCACACACACTCTCCCTTGCAGCAGCTGAAAGGGGCCCCACAGTGGCCGATTCATTCCGAGGGCGTTAAACGTATTAATCCAATGTGTAAGCAAGGGAAGTAAACAAATAGCATGATAACTTGAATCTCTGAAGAGGCTAATTAAGGAATAGTCTCCTGAAGATAAGCCAGGCTAGAATTTGATGTGATCAGAAGGATCTTGCACTCTTACCATCCCCCACAAGACTCCACATAATTAATCTGAAGACAAAATTCTGAGTGAACATTTTTAACAGATGCCCTGGACGTACACAAATACATATCTTGTCTACATTTTTTTCCTGTTCATATAGAATCACATTAAGAGGAGTTATAAAAAACCTGAACTTTAAGTGCATATCATACCTATGATTAAGAGACTACCTACTGAACTTAAGAAAACCCAAACACAAAACATTTACACCTGTTGGAAGGAGACTAAGCTCTAAAAGGAAAAAAAGTACTCTTTTTGAACTAAACAAACTCAGCATGATTTAAAACAGCTATTTTAAGTTAGTAGCATGCCACACAGATAAAAAATTCAGCCTAAGTCATCAATGTGAAAAAATAAATCTAAAATAAGCTTTGAGAGCAAAACTTAAAAAAACCCCAAGTCGCTTGTATTCTCTCTTTAGGAGATGCCCGAGTTAGAGCATAATCAGGTGAAAAAAAGCAGTACACCTTTTCTATATTCCCCCCATAAACCAGAAGTGTGAATAGTGGATTCATCACATCTCATCCTCCGGACAGGAGGTGACTAGAGTTACCTAGTTGGTGTTTCTGACAAGAGTGCTACAAGATAACATTAAGCTCCCAGGGAAAAGTATCCTTCAGGAAAAAAAGGAGAAGCCTCAAAATACACCAGCCTACCATCCATGGAGGACACTGCTGGAATTAGATTTTTCTTCCTCAGTTAAACTATAGAATATAAAGCACATGAGCACATCAACATGTACTTTCCTGTATATGCAATATTTTTTCTGCTAAATGTCAAGCCTCAAAACACTTCTATGATGGTTCTTGTCCTCTCTCCCATCATGATTTCTCTTCACAATGTCCCCATCCTGTAACCAGCTGACACATACATACAGTCTTGTGATAAGTGACTCTGGAAACTAATCCAAGTGAAAACAAGATGGTTCATGATGTCCCTGACAGGCTTCCTAAGGTGAAGGGGCAAGAGCAAGCAACTGTGGGTAATCTAAAAGCAGGTTTTTTCAGTGGCAGAACTGGCTTACACTAATTAAAACTTACTGAAATTTTTTTGTTCATAGAGTGCTATATATACATTAAGGAATCTGTACAGCTCCTTTTAAAATGCCCAGTATACACACATGGAATATTACTTAAAACTACAGACCTTGACAGCATCCTATATGCATCTTGCTTATCAACTGGTTTTTCCAGGATATCTTCATCCACAGCCTAAAACAGAAAGACAGAGTGACTGAGGCCACAGATGACATTTAAACCATTTTTTCAGCCTGGATTTCAAACATCAGTCTGCTGAGTAGAGCAAGAAGAATAGATACTTTGGCAGAACAGGTAATTTAGTGTCAAGCATATAATGAGTGCAACACGACATCCAGAGGCTGCAGCTTTCAAACAAAAGGGTAATTCAACTTCTGTACTTAATTCACTGTCTCAGGGGAGATGACAGGTATGAAGTGATGCTTGTCACAAGGCACAACATTCATTGGTTCACATGACCTGGACTTTTTGACAGTCAATAGTTGCCTGAGAATAGAATTTCCCTTACATACTAGAGGATCCAAGGCCATACTCAGGAAATACTAGTGTTTCTGCAAAAACAGAAGCAAGGTTTCCAGCACTCAAGATAAGAATTGCCTTGTTGGAGGAAAAAAAAACAAAACAACAAAACAACCCACATAAAATCCACACCCACAAAAGCCAAGAGATATATCATATTGCAGGTATAACCTGTCAGCAGTTTTCAATCTTTAAACCTAAAGATACAAGTATTTTCTACACTTATAGTAAATTAAATCAATGCTAAACCACATAAGACTTCTTACCACAATAGTGTCTGCTCCTATAACAACATCAGGTGTTCTTAGGTGTTTCTGCAAAGGCATAAAGAAAGAAGGTCTCTCTCAAAAGAGGTATAAAGAACAACCTTTTAAAACTGTAGGTAAGAAGACAAATTCACTGGTTTACAGACACTGTTTCTCTTTTTGCACTGTTTAGAAATAATAAAAACTGTGATCATTTACGTCACGATAAAAGGGAGGAAAACAGGAGGTTTGAGCAGACCATTTTCAGGTCATTATTTTTCCCCAACATGTTACAGGTGAAAAAATGCATTGAGTAAATAACCAACTGCATTCTCAAAGGTCAACCTGATCTTCAAAGTGGCATGCAGAATTCCTTTAAAGAAGTGCCCTGTATGGAAGAGAGGGAGTACAGCACTGAAGTTATCTAGGAGCATTTTTCCCAGCCAAGTTTTTAAAACAAAAAACAAACAAAAGCCAAAACAAAACACAGACAAAAACCAAACCCAAAACTTTCTCTAGCTATATTTTGCTTATCTTCTTCAACAGGGAACAAACACAGTCTATTTTGGGAAGCTGAGAGGTAGAGGTATATAAAGATGCCTTGTAACTTTTTATTTGCTTTAATTTGTAATCAATCCTTACAGCTGAGTTTTGATTTACTTGCATGTTATGAGGTACACAGTTATTTAACACAGCAAGACAGGAAACTTTTCTATAACTGTGATAATTATATTAAAAAGTTTGCAGGGAGGTGATTCTTCTATAGAAAAGATGTTAATGTGCTTTAAATAGTAGAACTAATTCCAGAAATCATTTAAAAAAATTCCTGTATGAAGAAGCATTTTGAAATCCACTGAACTAGCATTGTTGCCAGCACACTGTTTTGCAATGAAAGCCCAGCATAAGCTAGTTAGTGAGGTTGGGTTTAAAATCTGCTCTCCTAATGTTATACCATTCTCTGAAAAGAAGCTGATGGAATCCTGGACAACAATTTACATTGGAGATCATGCAATATTTGCTTTGGAGGATGGTGACATCTGACACTGTTGGTTTAAAGTGTTAGACATTCCTTTTCTGCCATCAGTGTAGGTTCAACAAACATACTGCTCTCTTTCAAAGCTGCATTATTAAGAAATTCTTACAGGACATTTTGGGAGATCTAATCAGCTAGACTTCAAAATAGGTTTTGGTAGAGAACAGTTTTATGTGCTCACACACAGAGATCACAGCCTAGGGCAGAAGTCAAATATGCAACTGATAGGGTAAGCTGGCAGGTCAGTTCTGTTTGTGGAAAGCAGAAACTGTGTGCACGAGCTCTACTTTTGATCAGGTGAGCTAATTTCAGGAAGCTATCTTCCACAAATGACAGAAACCCACCCATTTGCCTTCAGAGGGGAAAATGCACTGAGACTACCCGCCAAGCACATGCAAATTAAGTCTCAGGAACACCAGTTCAAGACAAAGATACCAGCCATTGCCAGAACGGCCGGTAACTTACCACATGCATTCTGTTTGCTACTTCAAGAGCCTTCTGTTTTGCTGTTTCCACAGCATACTCGTAAGGAGCTGCAAAAGATGATTTTTCAAGTGTCTCCTTAAACCAGGATGGAACCACCTCAAACCGCAGGCCCTGTAACAAAGGAAAGCAACGCAGTCAACCTCAGCTTGCTGTTAGAGCTTGTTCCCAAGGCACCTGAAGGATGTGACAATTTCCATCTTCTCACGTTCCACTTTTAACACCCCCCTTCCCCCAAACACAGAGGGGAAAAAAAGAAGTGCTTCTGTAACAGTGCTTGGTGAATACATAACATTTGCAAGTAGCCCAAAAGGAAATAAAAATAAAAATCAGAGAGAACTCTTAAATGGATGTGCTTACTTTACTCTTGTTATTTATTAGAACATAACTGCAGTAGTCATTTCACCATTCTTCTATAAAAATGGAACAGTATAAAGCTTATACACTTCATAAACAGAATACCAGTGGTTGGTTTTTTACTGAATCCACCCACAGCACTTCACTTGTGCACCAGGAGAGCTTTACTACCCATCCCTGATAGCTCACGATACATGTGACGAACAGAAAACAAGAAGAGCAGTTTCTGAATGGTTTTGCCAAAAACCCCCTCATTCTTCCTGCCCCTTGCCTCCAGGTTACAGCTGTAACTTTACAGGCACATTCCATTCCCGACAAACAAACGCACACACGAACCCTGGCGCTTCTGCACACCCGTGTGCTTTGGAAAGAACGCACATTTCACCGCTTAAGCTCAGCCTCTTCCACGCAGAGCAGCAGCACCAAACAACCCAACCCGGGCGCACCGCAATCCCCAGGTGCCACTCCAAAGCCTCCTGGGGCCCGGGGTGCTCAGCTCGCCCCTCCACAGGGGCAGAACACGCTGAACGACAGGCTAGGGCTCCCTTTGCAAAACGACATGAAGTTTTCACACATTTCAGAAGCCCAAGACTTTCAGAAGCCGAGGCATGAAGTGCCTAAAGCAAAGGGCAACCGCAGTACAGATTGTAACCACCTCAGCCTACGTGAAGGCCTTCTGAACTCTTCCATGAGGCGCCAGAAGAAATCAGAGTGGCACTTTCCGGCCTCAGCAAGTCCTTGGTGTGATTGCACCCCCGTGTTGAATCCGATCACACACAAAGCCAACACGCACTCGCTCACGGGGAAAACCTAACCGAGAAGAAGCGGGATTCAAGGAATACGGGTCATATCGCTGCTCGGGGAAGCAGGAACGCGAGGCCAGCCCGGCCCTTGTGCCACCGCCACCCCCTCGGAGGCCGCGGGACCAGCCCGGT